AATGATTTTGTAAATATATTTATGCAATTTTCTAATAGTGGCTTACAATTATTAAAACTTCATATACGAAGATATTATACCATTTATACTATTTAACATTATGATGCTCTTAATGAATTAACAACTGAAATATATGAAATATTACACAAAAATTAAAGATACACATAATCAAATGTTAAAGATGATATTTTATAATATAATTTTAGATATTTTTTTGAAAAAATTTTTTTATCACATTTATTTACTTTTTTTATTATAAATTCGATGACAAATAATTACAAATACTACAAGAAAATCATAAACTTAAAATTAAATTCTATGAAGTCATTACTTTTGGCATTGTTAATTAGTAAAATATATGTTCTTCAAAAAAAACTTAAACATAAAGAAAATGTAGATGATTTATGTATTGAAGGAATAGAATATTTAATTACTTGTTTAGATATATATTTGGATAATATATCTAATGTATCAGCAAACAAAAAGATTTATTTAAAGATTTATGTTAATGGAATATTAATAAATAGAAAAATTGTGTATATGACAAGCAAATTTTATGGTTATGCAAGATTCAGTGATATTGTAATTGTAATGGATAATATAGATTACTTGACTAATAATAGATTATGTTATGGCAAGGCAAATATTTACAAAATATATTTATAAGATATTTTTTAAATTTAACTAAAAAAAACTATTAATCTCTTAATTTGTATAGGTATTAATGTTAGTTGAAGTCTCTAATTGTCCTTCTTTATCTCTTATCTTAGTATATTGATTCGATTATCATTCTAAACGGAATCTAATAATGTATGAATGTCTATATATGAAGTTTATAAATTACTATAATTTAATTTCTTTTGAATCTATTGCAGGTTTAATATATATAGTAAAACGCTTTGATTTTAATAATTATTTTTTTGTAAATATATTTATTTTTTAATAATTTTGCACCTTTTATAGAAAATTTATTATATATTAAATTCTCAATGAACAATAAAAAGTAGTCTAATAAAATAATAACATATGTAAATTCATAGTTATAATTGAAAAAAAATATATATACTTTAGTCTTGTTTGATTCACTGATTATGATACATGTATTAATATTTGATATGTTAATTTTAATCATATGATATAGAGTTCGATACTTTGATTTTTTGATTTTAAAAATTGAAATTTATAAAAAAAAATCCTTAAAATTTTTCTTTAAAGATCTTTAAGAAATCTAATATTTATAGAAATCTAAAAGATTCTTGAGATTTGTTAAAGGATTTTTAGAAATTTCATAAAATCACAAATCTTTGAGAATTCTATAGAAATTTATAGAATTCTTATAAATCTGAGACTTCAGAATATTACTGATGAAGATCTTTTTTTTTTAATTTAATTAAATTTTTATTTTTAAATTATTAATTTTTAAATTTTTTTGTTGAATATATTTAATTACATTTTCAATGTTATTTAATATAACTATTATAGAGATTTCATCTTGCTTCTCTTTTTCTTTAATTTTCTTTTCATTTATTCCTTTTACGACATCAACAATTTCTTATAATAATAATTCCTTTTTAGCAGATATTTTATCATTAATATTAATATAGTTATTTATAGTTAAAAAATTTGTGAATTCTAACTTATTAATTAATGATTATAATTTATATCTAATATTATCTTTTTCATAATCAGAATTGTTTGAATATTCAGAATCTTCATATTATTATTAAAAAAAATTTTAGCTTTAGTCTAACTGTTAAGAATTATTTTTTTAGATATTTTTTTTTAAGCATTAGCAATTAAATTAATTGAATTAAAAATATCAATTAAGAGTAAAATAGAGTCTCTTTTTTTTATAAAAATTATAAGTTTGAATATAATTTTACATAACAATTTGTGATATTGTACTTTTAAATTATAAATAATACCTTAATCTAATGATTGAAGATATGATGTTATATTTGATAATAAAAAATGAATCTTAATATTTGAAAAACTATTAATGTTTTCAGATTCATATTATCTATTAGTAAAATAATATGCTAAGTATTTTAAAATTTAATTTTTCAAGATAATATTTGAAAATACTTTTTTGTATTTAAGTTTTAGAGTTCTAATAATACCAAATAATAGAAGATTTTTTTTTAATTTCTATAAATATACGTGATATTTCACATTTATGAAAACTAAAGGTAATCTTTCATCATCAGAAGTATTATAAATTACCAAAATACTAACATATTCTTTAAAATATTTTTTACTAAGTATAGGATCATGTGTTATTATTTTGGATAGTTTTAAATACTAAAAAAAAGCAGTTTCATCACAGTTTCAGATATTTTTTAGTTTATATTCTTGAAAAATTTTTTATAATTCAGCTCTCATTTATGAAAATTCATCATAAAAGCACTATTAGCTTTTCCTTTTTTTATATATATGCAAATTATTTCTTTATTTAAAGTTACTTAACCATTCTGCAAATACTAAAAAGTTAATAATATCAATTAAGTTAATACATTTCACTACTTTTTGTTAGATAATAGGTTTATTAATAGTTAAATTTCTTGATATTTATTGATCAATCCAAATGTTTATTGCTTCTTATAGTTGTGGATAAACACTAGAAAATTATTTGCATTTGGTAAAGTGATATTAATAAAAAGTTAATGTTCTGATCTTTTTAAAATATCAGAAACTGTTTAGTAAAAATTCTATATTGTACTGTTAATTAAACACTATTAAGTTTTTGATCTCTTTGTTTTTTGTAAAGTTCTTTCTTTTGAGTTAATGCTAAAGATTTCTTCTTTTTATTATTTGTTTTTCTTATACTAAAGTAGAAAAAGTATAAAAAAATTGTTTGTCTAATTAATAAATGATTGATATAATTATTTTAGACTCTGAAAAAACTAATATGTTATATCAAGACTTTTTAATTATAGTTGATCTAGAATAAAATCTGATTTACAAAATTATTAAGATTTTACTAATAAAGTTTGATATATCAAGACTGTTTTAATATAAATGATTTGATTTTAAAAGAAAAATTTGAAATAGTGCTAAATTCAGTTTATTAAGAATCTGATTTATCAAGATTGCCTGTATATTCTCTTTAAGTAAACGTATTATATATTTTTTTAAATACACATTCTTATTTAATCTTAAATATATAGAAATTATATAAAAATTTTTTTAAATGCATATTCTTTTTACTGTTTAAAATTGTTTGTAACTTTCTCATTTGTATTAGTATATGTGAAACATTATTCAAATATCTTTTAATGATAATAGTTTTTTTAAGAAAAGAATCAATCATTTTTGATAGTGATCAGTAATTATCTAAACATACTTATAAGGCTTATTGAATGGATTTTAGTTTATATAATTTGAAGTCTGATAAAAGAAAGGCAATAAAATACATTCTGAATCAGATTATAATGAAATAATTGATAAATTAACAGTCTATTAACTTTTTAACATTTTGAATTTATACAGGAACTCTATAGTAAATTAAATTGGAAAAAGAGATTTAAAAACATAAAACATTAAAGTAATTGTAATGTCCTCAAAGCTAATAATACACAGTCATCCCATTGGAAATTCGACGACATCAAAGGTTTGGAGCACCCATAAATTAAATCTTTCGTTAAATTATTTCAAAATAATTGGAAAGAAGTGAATTTAAATTAAATTGCAACAGAATACGCTTTGTTTTTGCTTTAGTGAATCATTATTAAAAAAGTTTTGATATTTGTATATAATTTAAAGAAGATACTAAAAACAACACCGCTAACTTTTTTTTAATCTAAAGGATTTCTATCCTTTAAACCTTTCAATGTCGTGGCTCAACATGTATTATTTAATACGTTCTTATTTTTTTTTTATGTTTTCGTCAAATAATGGTGGCTATGTGCCGATGATCCGTGTTTCTTTTTAAAAAGAATGTGGCTTACATCAAATTTCATCATGGCATTCGAATCGTGAGAAATTACAAATTTTTTTTTACGATATATTCAAACAAATCCTTTTTACACAGCCAGGAATGTGGTTTAAGAAAAAAAAAAATTTTTTTTGACTACATAAAAAATATATGCACAAATTGTGCGAAATTCCTATAAAAATTTGTTCAAATCACCTGCACATAAAAAGAGAAACGAAAATTAATCATGGCTTCAATAACAAACTTTTTAAAAAAAATTTCTTCTTTAACCGTCGAGAGAACAATTCTCCTGATCTTACTCACTTCTTCGGTTAGTTCTTATATATCCGATTCACACGTTTTTAAAATTAGTCGAGACGGTGAAGTGAAACTTGATTGTAATTTTAATTGTATTATAGAAACAATACTTCTTTGCATTTTTCTTTTATTTTTCTTTATCTTTATTATAATAGTGTTATATTATTGTTATTATAGGAAAAAACATAAACATAGTAAGGTTAAAGATTTGGAATCTTTAAAATCAAAATATTAATTAATTATGTGAAAATTTTTTATTACTTATATTTTCTCAATTATCACAACATTAGAGGAAATAATTTTAAATCTATTACTAATAGAAAGCGTCGAGGGATTAAAGATTTGAATTGAAAATTTGCTACTAGAAGTTGATTTTTAAATAACAAATTCGGGGTTCACTTTGTAAATTTGGGCGTTAAAGATCAAAGAAAGTTGACGTAATGTTTGAAATCATATTATCATGAAAGTAAATCTCTAAGGATTGTAATGGCTTACACAAGCAATTCTTGTAGTGGATGACTAGAACTTCAAGAGTTGTATTTTTTCAATTATAAAATAATTTGATCATTGAATTTTAAAATTTCAACACGTTTGTTAAATTTACTTTTCGCGCTGACTTTAAATATGTAACGTTGATTTAAATAATGTCTCCAACTAATAAATTATTCGATGATTATGAGTTAAACTATTTATCATCAACTACCCATCATTCTATAAAATTATACTTCAATCCAAAATTATATTAAACCTCTTTCTTTCCGATAAAAGAATGAATAAACAAAGCTGTCTGAAAGAACATTACTTTGAAAAATTCTTATATGGAAGTGGAAACGATCATATTTCCATGCCTATCTCTTCACATCAAGAACCACAAATTAATAGCCATGAATTTACAAATTATCGCAAGGCACTTTCTTTACTAATTAATGAAAATCCAGATTTTTCGTCTCTTAATAAAACTCAATTGATGGAAAATGTACCCGAAAATTATGATTGGATTGGAAATGGAAGCAACGAAATTGACAGTGGTATTGATCCTTCAATTATTGATTCTATTATCGAGAAAGAAGTTAATAAAAGACTTCAGCAATCAGTGAGTAATATGAGATTTACCAAGCTGTCATCATGTTGACAACTAAGATTTTTTTTTTTCTTTTATTATTTTAAAAAAATATATATTTTTAGCAATCATTTGATGATGATGAATATGATATCACAGAACAGCCAGATTTAAGTCTTTTATTTAATTATGCTAAAGAAACAGCTGCGAGTCTTTCGGCACCAATAAATGCAAACAAAAGAGCTGAAATACTACAACAATTAATTAAGTCGAAGCCAGATCAATCTTCAGGTTGCCTTACAACAAGTTACAATAAGTATAATCATAATGGAAATGGATTCGAAGAATTTTCTGAAGGTTTAGTTACGTCAGGAAAGGTATGGGATTTTATTAATTTATCTCGTTTTTTCTCATAAAATATTGGTATTTATATATTGTTTAAAAGCGAGGATTTAATGATTCAAGCGTTGATAACCAAACGTTTTCCAATTATAATAATAACAATTGCGAAGACGATGAAGATTTTCAACAAAGTTCATTTATCAGTGCTAAACAACAATTGGTAAATTGGTTAATATTAATTTTTAATTTATTTTTTCATGTTTAATTGTTATACTTTTCTATTAGAATGTTAACAATCAAAAAAAAAGATGTCACACACCACAAAACCGACGAGGACAACGTTCTGCTAATAAAAATTATCTACCAGGAACATTCAAAAAGAAATTGCCGTCAAATCAAGATCATAAGTTACCTAAATTCGTGTCTCCGTTGTTAGGAACGAAAATGTATAACGGAAATAAAAATTCGTATGTACGATCAAATAAAACATACTCTTAAGTATAATAAAGTTTACATTTCACTTCTTTTGCTTTATAGTACCAAGCGAAATAAACTCAATCCTAATATTGAAAGTGACGAAGAAAGACTAAAAAATATTGATCCAAAAATGATTGAAATGATACAAAATGAGGTAAAGATATTATTTTACATAATTGGATTCCAAATATAAACTTAATAAATTGTTTAGATCATGGATCGGTCTCCAAATATTACTTGGAATGATATCGCTGGATTAGAACACGCGAAAAAAACGATTCAAGAGGCTGTAACATGGCCATTGTTGAGACCGTAAGTATTCGTATTTTTTTATTTAAAAGAAACTATTAATTAAACAAACAACAAATTTCACGATTTCAGTGACATTTTTACAGGATTAAGGAGTCCACCTAAAGGTTGGCTTAGGAAAAATTGCCGCGTACAATTTATATCTTATTTTTTTATCTTACAAATTCTTTTATCTAGGGTTATTATTGTTTGGTCCTCCAGGGACGGGTAACAAAACTTAAAATTTTTGAAAATTTTTGATTTTGTAAAATAATAAAAAATTCACCAACCAAAGTACATGTTTAGGGAAGACTTTAATTGGAAAGTGCATTGCTAGGTACTATATTTTCTATCAGAAAGCTTGCGTTAATAGAAATCTTTGGGTAGAAATTGGAATCGATCCAAACTCTTGTAGTAATAAATTCCATTCCAATGTTATGTTCACGGATTCATTATAATATCATTTCATTTATTGTTCTTTACAGCGAATCAGGTTCCACATTTTTTAGCATTAGGTTAAGATTTATCATATTGCCTTGAATAATATTTTCAAAGTTGAAATCTCTAATGATCATTTTCATTGTAGCTCCTCATCGTTGACTTCAAAATGGGTTGGAGATGGTGAAAAAATGGTAAGATACGCAAAATATTCTGTTTCAATTTTTTTCTACTTAAATGAAATTTTATTCCAGGTTCGAGCTTTGTTCGCGGTTGCAAGAGTAAATCAACCTGCTGTAGTTTTCGTGGATGAAGTAAAGTTGACTTTATAATCTCAATTTGCGCATATGTCGAAACATAGTTAATAATTTATTGATATAATAGATTGATTCGTTACTAACACAAAGGACTGATGGAGAATATGAGTCATCAAGACGGATCAAGACCGAATTTCTTGTTCAATTTGTATGTAATAACGATATATCGCAGTTATTAAAATTATAAAAATTTTTTTCCTAAAAAAAAAAAATAAAAATAATAATAAATGAATACATATTTTAGGACGGTGTTAAAACTGCGAGCTTAGAGGAGGATCGAATTCTTGTTGTTGGTGCAACAAATAGGTTTGAAAGATTGAATTATTCAGTTAACTCGTATGATCCCATCTTTTGACAATTTTTTTTTATTCAATTAGACCACAAGAAATTGATGAAGCAGCGCGTGAGTGATATTAATTCTTTTTTTAAATTCTTTATATGGTATTTACAAATTTCTATTTATTAATAAGGACGTCGATTTCGTAAGAAACTTTATATTCCTCTACCAGAGAATGAGGGAAGATTTACAATTGTGAAGAATTTGTTATCAAAACAAAAGCATCTTTTAACAGATGAGCAAATCCGTGATATCTGTGGGAAAACAGCGGGTAATGATGATTATTAGATAAAGTTCTCTACGCTAAAAAAATAAAATAAGTATTTGAGTTTATTGGTTTATTTAAATAGGATATTCCGGATCCGATATGGACGGACTTTGTCGAGGTAAAAGCATAATTGTGGTAATGTATGAATTATTTGTAATGTACTTATCAAAATATAATAGAGGCTGCATTGGGGCCTATACGCATTATAGGTGATATTAGGACGATTTCAGGTTTGTATGTGCGTCGAGTTATAAATAATCTTAAAAAAATTACTATTAATATATATGTAATATTTAACAAATAGCTGACGAAGTTCGTCCGATAAATTATCAAGATTTTCTAGATGCAATAACTCAAGGTAAAAATTTCATAAGTTGACATTTCAGTACGATAATCATTCGTAATAAAATTTCAAACATTGTTAAAGTACGAGCAAGTGTTAGTGATCGTGACCTGGAATTATATCAAAGATGGAATCAAGAATATGGCAGCTTATCATAAGTATCAATCTTAGAATGTGATTTGAATTTTTAATATAAAATAACCATCATCTGTAGTGATAAGTTTGCAAGTATTAATAATCATTTTTATTGACTATTCTATTTAAAAATTAATTCATAGCAAATCATAACCAAATAAAGTATTTTAATTTAGATTCATAATGAAGAATAAATCGGACATTATTATATTATTTTACTTAACTTCCAAACTTAGAATATTCGTCAAGTTGCTAAAATAAATATGTCATTATTAGCACATTCTTTTTAAAATACGAGATTTTTTTTAGTCCTTATTGAAAGGATGAATATTAAAGAAAGTTGTAATAGGGGCGTCATTTATAATTTTTTTAAATTATAAAATGCTTTCTAAAAATAACTGGACAAAAAATTATATATATTTTTTTTTTTTTTTTTTTTTTTTACAAAAAATTTCGAGATCATGCCTGCGTTACCTTATGATATTTTTCCAATTGTATTTAAATTTTTACGACAGGATAGAAATACGTTATTTTCATGTACTCTCGTTAATCGTACTATCTGTAGGTTAGCAATCCCATTACTTTGGAAAAATCCGTTCATGAGTAATGATTCATTGGAGGAGATTAATCAATATAAATCAGCCTTGTTAATCCGAACGTATTTGGCGTGTTTAACCGAGGATGAAAGGAGATATCTAACGAAGAAAGGTGTAGAAATCCGGAAATTTCCAAAGCCATTATTTGATTATGCATGTTTCTTGGAGGAAATGATGCATAGTTGTCCTTTATATAATTCGGTCCTTTGTTGGATTTTATTAGAATATCGAAAGTACACAAAGAATTACTTGAATGAAATTTCGAATATGTATCAATTTGATGAGAATGAAATACAAGACCCATTAATTAACTCGTTATATTCCATGTACTTTAAAAAGAGTAAAATCAAAACGTTAGGGATTTCCATCGAGATGCTTAAAATCAAGGATCCCATTGACCAACAACTTTTCAATAAGATGAATCTTTCAACTTTGTCAAATTTATCTCGGTTAATAATATACCTAAAAGATAATTCCTTCGGATTTAAAAGCAATCAACATTCATTTGACTTTTTATTGAGCATAATAAAGAAATGGTGTCATAAGATTCAACATGTTAGGATTTCCAATTTATTGGTATTTGCTCATCAAAAATTACCAAAAATTCAAGAAATTATGAGTCAACAACAAAGGCTCGTAAAACTTGACCTTCTAACTCCAAAACAAAATTTCATAATCGATGATATACTCTTAAATCTGAAAGGTCACGATTATAATTTCTTGACCGAAATGGAAGTGCATGACACCGATCTATCCGATAGTTCTTTATTGGAGGGATTATCAAGTATCGATTCGTTAAAATCATTATACTTGATAAGGTGTAGGGGGATTTCTATGCATAATATTCATATTTTATCCGATTCATCGATTTCATTACTCAAGTTAAAATTTATTAACAATGAATTCCCACCCGGATTAATCATTTCAACCATTGGTAAATCATTGACCGAGTTGATAACCAATCAGTTGGATCAGGAAGCAACTGAATTGCTTTCTTATCATTGTTCCGAATCTTTAACTCACTTGGACATAGTTGGGATTAATTTGCAAACACAAAAGATCTTTTATAATTTAATCGTAAGGTTAAAATTGAATTCCTTAAAGATCAGTTGTTGTAGGGAGTCAACGGGTCAAATTTTAAATGATCTGGGAAAGAATTTACCGAATTCCTTAAAGTATTTGGGCCTCTTTGGATTATATACGTTTAAGGGTCTTACCGTAGAACATTTCGAGAATCTATTGTCAAATTGTAACGCGACTTTGGAATCATTGGAGATTTATGGTACCATTAATCGTAATTTTTTAGTTGTGATCTACGATTACATTAAGAATCATAGAAATTTTAAATCGTTGATCATTAATCTGTACGGTAAAGGATGGGAAGATAAAGAATCATCATTGTTAAAAGATTTTAGCAAATACGGTGTAAAGTCGATTGTCAATTAATTTTAAAGGTGATATGAAATTTTGTTTTTCACATGATAATTTGGATTTCGAGAATTCTGATCACCTAATATCCCACGATAGAAGGGGGAAATTGTCGGGGAATAAATTTGGATTTTTTCCGGTAGTCCCTTCTACTGTATAATTATATATATAGTTGTATGTTATTTGTTATTTATTTATTTTTTTTTTCTTTCATGTAAAAACTCCAACATGCTATGGAAATGATGAAACAAAATTTTATAAAACTTGTTTAAAATATTATGTGTGATTTGCATTAGTACTTTATTAAAACGTGTTATCATCATACACCAAAAATTCTCTCGTTATTTACAATTCATATTTCCATCATGTGATGCATTTTCGCAAAAAGAAAACCACATAAAGTATAATTAATTTAATCATCATCGAATGGATGATATGATTACCCGTTATTGTTTTTCTTTTTACTTTATGTTTTAGAACCATTCTATCGCCAAAAAAGGTACTCCTTTTATTTTTGTGAATCCAAAAAATTTCGTTTATCTTCTTGATAGATTGACACCTAATACATGTAATCTACCAAAAATTCTTCGATTATTCCCCTAAACTTGGTTATTCAATTTATCGATCTTAAAATTTATTAAATGGAAAATTCGATACTATTATAATAATAAGGTTAAAAATTTTTTTTTTCTTTTTTTTTTTTTTTTTTCTTGAAGAACAAAAAAATATTTTTTTTTTTCTGTTTTTGTTTTTTTTATCGCTCGTATAATTTATTTTATTCATCATGTCGGAACATAGACCTGCCGAACGACTTTCACAAGATAGTTCTCAAATTCAAAGTGACATAAGTAATCATACGAGTAATCAAAGTTTCCTTTTAGATGAAAGGCAAAAAAAGGTTCTCTTAGCATTTTGTAATACCATCATCGGAGAACTTGATAAAGAAGAACTTCAAATTTTACTCAACACGAATTCATCAGTTATGCAAAAGAATCCAAAGGTGGTTGAAGCATTTGGTAAATTTGATTTATCAAAGCAAAACGATATCATTGATAGGTTAAATGATCGTTTATTGAAATCCGCTCCCCCTCATAAATTTCGACAAATTGCCTCGATCCTTAAACGTTTGAGTTCCAAAAGTATAATAAATAGTCAAATAATAGGCATCAATAAACCTTTTCATGAATTAACTCAAAAGCAAAGGGAAGCCGCTTTCATAAAATGGAGTACGAGTCAGACCGCTTCAGTTCGAAAGATTTATAAAAGTTTTTCAATGTTAATCTGCGCTACCTTTTGGTTAAATCCTTATGGGTTTAACTCCGCGATTGGGTACCCTGGAACTGATCCCGCGGCGAAAGGTTCAAGGTTCACCTCTCGCAAATTTCCTGATTACGATTTCCTTGAAGTGTCCGAGGAGATCTCGGAAATTAAAGAATTTGACACCGTCATAATCGGGTCAGGAGCTGGTGGAAGTGTCGCCGCCGCCAGGTTGTCCAGATTGGGGTATAAAGTTTTGGTAATTGAGAAAGGTCATCATTATGATCAAAGCGAACTCAAGTTTGAACAGCAAGATGGTTATAATAATTTATATGAACTGTCGGGAGGGATGCTCTCAGAAGATAGCAGTATTTACGTCTTGGCCGGTTCCAACTTTGGTGGTGGTACTACCATTAGTTGGTCGGCTTCAATGGAACCACAATATTTCGTTCGAGAGGAATGGGCAAAGAAATTCGGTCTTCCTTATTTCATGGAAGATGATTATGGTAATACCATGAAATACATTAATAACAGACTTGGAGTTAATACAAACAACATCACTCATAATGCGAGTAATCAAACCTTGATTGATGGTTGTAAGAAACTTGGTCTTCACTTTGATACCATACCACAAAATGCCGCTTCGATGCCACATCAGTGTGGTTGGTGCTCGTTCGGATGTAAATACGGTGAAAAGCAAACCGCCGTTATGACTTGGTTAAATGAGTCAAAATTGAATAATACCAAATTTTTACAAGATTGTTTTGTTGACAAAATCTTGACCGAAAAGGATGGAAAGAAACAAAAGGTGATCGGTGTTGAAGCGATCGTTAATAACGGAAAACGTATCGTGGTGCACGCTAAACGAGTAATCGTCGCTAGCGGTGCCATTCATTCACCCGCTTTATTATTAAGGAGTGGATTAAAGAATAAAAATATTGGAAAGAATTTACACCTTCATCCCACCGCGGCCGTTTATGGTGTTTTCCCAAATAAAGATATTAAAACTTATTCTGGTACCATCATGTCCGCGATTTCTAACGCGGAAGAAAATGTTGACGGTGAGAATTATGGGGCTAAAATCATTGTCGGATCTCATCATCCCGGTTTCATGTTTGCCAATTTCCCATGGAAATCTACATTACAACATAAACAACTTATGTTGGAATATAATCATATCGTACCTCTTATGATTATTACGCGAGATCGTGATGGTGGAAAAATATTTATCGACTCGGATGGGCAACCAAAATTGGACTATAAACTTTCCCAACATGATTCCAGGAGCATGATTTCTGGTTTACTGGCCGCGATAAAGATCTTGATAGCCGCTGGTGCATCTAAGATTGGAACATGTCAAGCTGGAGTTGAAGATTTTGTCATAGAAGATGGGGTTAACACATTTAACGATCCAGGATTCAATCAATTCTTGGATAAAGTCAAAAAAGTTGGTGTTCCAGCCAATCAGGCTTGTATTGGAAGTATACATCAAATGGGTTCTTGGTAATTATATAATTATTTATTTGTTTCTTTAAAAAAATTATCATATATATAAATTAATAACGATAATAAAAAAAAAATGATGTTTCAAGTCGGATGGGAGATGATCCATCCAAGTCCGTAGTAAATCCTTTGGGTGAAACGTGGGAAGTTGAGAATCTCTACGTGGCTGATACCAGCGTATTCCCGACAGCGACAGGAGTACCTCCAATGGTATGTGACAAAAAAAATTTATTTTCATTTCCTAAAAAGAAGTTATTAATATTTATTTTATTTACATTTTATCAGTTGACAACAATGAATGTAGCATATTACATTTCAAAATGTATCCTCGACAAGAAAAATTACATTAAAAAGGTATCGAGATCGATGTAGCCGATCGTTTTCACTTATTTTGAAAGAATATTAACCCATCCTCATTTTTATTATAAAATAAATAGAAACGTGGATCGTTTATATCGGGTCATATACCAAAAGGATCAAATTTTGAAATCAAATCAATTGATGAAGGGAGTATCGATTTCTCAGAAAACAATTATACCATTGATTCTGTAATGAAAGACTCTATTTTGAGAGATACACCTAACGAAAATTCTCCCACGTCTAAGAAGGAAAAAAGAAAATCAACAAGGAGATTGTCTTTTAATTCTTTTAGTTTTAAAAAGGATAATTAATTATTTAATCTAATCTTCTGAACGACATTTATAATGATTTATTTATAATATGATTATGTATTTTATGTATTTTAGGGTTTATATTCTATATCTTAATTAGTTATTAAAATAAAGGTTTTTTTTTTTTTTTATCTCATCAAGATGAACAAGCAAATAATAAATAAATCACTTGCAACATTATGTAATAATTTAATGAATCGTGACAATTTAATTCGTCTCGTAAAAAAAAAGTTATTGAAATTTTGATTCGTCTTATCTCATCTGACCTACTACTACTGGTAATTAGTTATTACAACTTATAAAAAGCAGGCGTGCGCGTAATTACGTACTCGCTGTACTCAAGATTTTGATAAAAAAATTTTATAAATATCGTACGTACATTGTGTTTCTTGTGATTTTTTATTTTTAGTTCTAATACTTATCTTATTGGTCTAACCTTAATAGCGAATGAGGATATTTGTTAATTTGATTGTGAGGCATTCGTTATAATTAATTATACTTTTGGATTACGTAAAAAAACTCTATATTATTAAAATTCCTATTGGATATTGAGTGACCACTTTATGGGTGCGAAATTTTCTCGTCGTAAGGCTGGGGGAAAACATATATGTGGCCTGAAAGCCGTGTGGGATACACGAAGAGACAAAAAAAAATTTTATTTGTTTGTACCTTTTTTTTTTTTTCTCTAAGAAAATTTTTAAATTCGTCAGACATAACATTTTGATTTTCATATTAGGTCTTGATTTTGCTCATTTAAATAAAGTTGTCGGTTGAATGAATATCTTTTGTTTCTTTTTTTTTTTTTTAAAAAAAAAAAAATAATTATGGTAAGAAATTCCATAGAATAAAAATGATCTCATTTTATATTCCCTTTTTGTCCTTCATTCTCCTTGTTAAGATCAAAGATTTTTATTAGATTAAATAATATGTTTACATCTGTATAGTATTATTTATTATTATTTATTATTTATTATTTTTATTTATAAACTAAAAATAGTCAAAAAAAAAAAAAAAATTAAATTAGTGAATAATACTATTATAATTCAAATATTTTGAATTCAATATAGAAATTTTACATTCATCATTATATGTAACTTTACATCTTAATAAATTTGTTTACTATCATATTGAAATAACGAAACTCATTTTTATAGAAAAGTTTGTATTTATAACAAAAAAAAGTCAAAAATTTAATACTAAAAAAAAAAAAAAATTCGTGAAGAAACCTAAATGATGTCTTGAAGTATATTTGCATTTTAAACAAGATTGATGATACATGATACAAAGAATGTGCGTCAACGCGATTGAGTGAAAAAAAAAATTTACAAGAAAAAAAATGTATATCTGATTTGTGAAGTTAAAAGGATTGATTGATTGATACACCAAGTGCAAAGGGATTGAAAAAGGAAAAAAAAAAATTATTTATAAAGAATAATCAAATATAAACACTTACTAACAAAAATCGCAGAAATTTACAACTACAAACAAATTTATTCTATAACTGTATGTGTACTTTTCTAGAGAAACCATCATGCCTTCCTATTGGTGGCAACACATTTGAATTTTTTTGCTGTTGATGTGATAACGAAGGACTGCCATTAAGGTTAACAGAAGAATACTGAGGTTGCTGGGAAGATGCTGGAACAATAGGTGGTGGTAATAATTGTTGATTCTGTTGTGACATGATTGTATTGTTAAACATATTACCATAACCCGTATTAGATTTACGACATCGTTCAATAACTTCGAAAGATGCTGTAATTATTTGGGCGTTAATTATATTATTGGATTTACGTGCATCCAAAATCTACATAATGGTCAAAAATTATTATTTTTAGAAATAACACAACAAGCAGCGAGTGATATTTACCTTCCATTGAACTTCCGCCAATCTAGAGAGTGATTCTTGCATCCTTCTTTGCCATTCCTTTGCAATCCTTGCGTTATCAGAATCAATTCCAAGAACATCATTAACACGTGGTAGAGACAGCTGCGGTAATTGTTGATTATCCATTTCACTTGTCTCAACTTTCAAGAAAAAAATTAGATCAGGACTTAACAATTGTATATAGCTCGTTTTACACCAACTCAGATCTAATCCCTTAGCAGCAGATGCTGCCATCGCGGAATAAACGTATCGATCCACAATCAAAGTAATACCATTCATGAGTTGATCCTTCATTACCGGCCTAACGAAAATATAAATGAGTTTTAAAACAAAAAGATAATATAAAAATTCTTTACCCTTATCACGTACATTAATTCCCACCAATGAGCTGCAACAAGTAAATGAAGTGTCTTCGGGTTTGGTTGACGATTAGTTGACTGGTATATTTTGAGAGCGTTTCCAGAAGGTGTTGAAGTATCAGGGAATTTGCACAACCTTGCCTTTATACCTTCATTCTTTAAGAACTCATATAATTGATTAGATTGTAATGCAGTACTATCTTCACAACCTTCAAGAACGATCAGTGCTCCGCGTGGTGAAACCGAAGTAGTGGTTGAAGAAGATGATGATAATGATAATGATGATGGAGTCGTAGAAAGAATTGTCGTTGTTGGCTGTTGAGATGATGACATAGATTGTAATTGAGGTGATACCAATGTATGTGGTGGTGGCAATCTTTGTGTAGAAGAGGTAGATGTGGAAAGTTGCTGTGTTGGAAGTCCTAATTTCGCTTTAATCGCTTCAGTAGGCGAAGGTTTCCTTGGATTATTATTTCCGTTGCGGTCTTAAAATTCGAATTCAAAAAATAAATAATTTTTTTTTTTTAAAAAAAAAAAATCATCATCATTATCATTATTATTAAATCATTTATATTTACAATAAAACGCGTATACGTATTTTTACCTAATTTATTTAATTCCTTTGAGCCTCCTTCAATAATGATAACGGACGGATGCTTGAGATTTTCATTATGATCTATTTTTCTATGTGATGGTAATTTCGAAAGTTCAATAACAAAATTATCCATCATGCCCTCTTGTGCACTAAAAGCATCGGATTTTACAGAAGAAGGAGCGCCAGGACCTTTCAACGGTTTTTTAAAAGTAGGCCCAACTACTCTTCTTCTAGGTTGATATTTATAATCAGGCCAAGCCTTCATGTGACGTTCCTTAGCTTCTTCGGCTTTTTTTTTCCATTCACCTTTTTCTTGGTTTGATAAATTTCTCCAATGATCAGCTATAATTCTCGAAATTTCAGAGTTATTTATACCGGGATGTTTATTAAGGATTAAAGGATGGTGATGTTGACGATAAAGGATAAAAGAATTCGGAGGACGAGGAATGTACGGTTTCTTTCTTGTTTGTTTTGTCGTGAAATTTATATTATTATTATTCCCCACAGAAGATGTCGCACCACCCATAGAAGAATTTGTTGGGGAATTTGCACCAGAACACTCATCATCATCAATCATCATTTCATCAAATCCGGAAGAAGTAACAGGTGAAGGAGGTGTAGAATCATTATTGTTAAAATTATTAACCTTAATTATTTCACAGGAATTTCCTTCAGCTAAGGATAAATTTTTTAAATTACATCGTAACCGTTTTGAAGGATCAAAATCACCATTATTATTAATGTCATACTCATCATTGTCATGAACACCTTTCCTTTTCTTTTTAATAAAGGAAGAAGAAGAAGAAGAAGAAGAAGAAGTAGTAGTGGTGGTGGTAGTAGTAGTAGTAGTCGTCGTAGAAGGATTAGGAGTAAAATCAGTATTTTTTGTATTATGAAATTCAACAGTAATGAATTTTTGATTTACATTATGATTCTTATTGTTGTTTGGATTATTATGAGGAGTTTCCGGAACAGGAGAGATTGATCTGCTACTCATTTGCGAAGTTGGATGTGACTTTGGAGAATTGGTATTTATTCGTTGTTCTTCATCATGGTTTATAAGGTTCGAAATGCTAGCAGCTGAACGAGCATTGTCAACCAAAGCATTATTTGCAATCGTAATGGTGGAAGGATCGACGCTATCATCATCGATATCACTTAAAGGACGCGATTGAGGGGTCGGGGTTGAAGGTAATGAAGATGGTGAGGAAGAATTTTGAGTTTCATCCAAATCGTTCCCATTATTAACGGTTGCAACAGGAGATGAGGAAATAATTGGGGAATTCGAAGAGATTTTTTGCGCAGTAGAGTCTGTAGAAATCATTTTTTTTTTTTTTTTTTTTGACCTTTACCATGCAAAATAATATGAAATACTTTTTAATACCCTTTTTATTTTTTTTTTATTTTATATATTTTTTTTTTTTAAAAGAAAAAAAAAAAGAGAGATAAAAAGATTGTATTATTGCGATCGTAGATATATATATGTAAAGGAAGAAGTTGGCACATAAATTTATTAGTGATACAATGTTATTTATTATTTTTTTTTTTTAAAAAAAAAAACAAAACGAATAAAGAAATAGAAAAGAAAAAGAAAAAAAAAAAAAAAAAGGTTGAAGGGGGAAGTAAAAAAGCAAAAAAATCAAACAATTATTATAACGAAGAAGTATTGTTCTTTTTATAAAGAATAAGAAAGTGACGACATATCATTAATTCACGAAATCAATGAATACTAATTCAAACTTCATCAATAAAACCGAATTAATAAACATGAATGATGATTCAAACGCAACAAGGGGGGAAACAATAGCGGATATTAAGGAATAAACCAGGACATCAATAATTGTAACAACATACCTCAAGTTTACAAAATAAAGAACATTGATATATTGTGATATTAATTGATCGGAAAAGAAAAAAGAAGCGAAAAGCGGAGTTACAAACAGTGAAGGAAATGGGGCATACGATTATCAAATAAGGTTATAACAAGGCATACAAATTCTTTGTTAAGTCCGCAAACAAAAGAAGCAATAAATTAAAAAAATTTTCATAAAATTTCCATGAATAAAAAAAAAGGGGGGGAAAAACACACACGGGCTTTTTGAAGACACGATGTATTTATATAAAAAAAAAAGGTATAATAAAAATTTTTTTTTTTTGTGGATCTTAAAAGAAAGTTTGAATGGAGCACAACATATTGCAAAGAAAACCTGTTTCAAACTTAATATAGGTTGGTTCAACTTATACATATTATTATGCAAACAATAAACCTATAAAAATAACTTATACAAGGATATCATTTAGTCCCCTATTTCTTCCCTCGCTAAATAACAATGAAC